ATTTTGTATTAAAAAAAAAAACTAAAAAAAAAAAACTTACAGTGCCAGCACTGTAGCTGCAGACCCGTCTGTCTCCAGCCATACATTCCCCTCCATTGACAACAAGGACTTGATGTTGAATGGCAATCTTATATTTAGCTTGGATGGCATGTTTAAGCTCTAGTACACTGAACAAATCAAAGTATTTTAGCAGAACAGCAAGCAATCCACATTGTAATTACATAATGCCACTGTCTTACGTTTGGACAGCAAGATCAGTGTCAAATGTCAAAGTGCTGCCATTGTTGACCTGGAACACATACAACTTCATGTTGGATCGTCCAGAGTTTTCCTCATTTAGTCCGTCAGGGGCACCCTTATAAAGAAAATATAAGCACACACATTACTTAGACATACAATATTATTTCAGCACAAACAGTATATTTAATTTGTTTTAAAATGGATATTGCGATACAGACAAAACATGATGGAATTTACTTGATATAAATGTCAGCTAATTAGCATATAGTTATTCAAACTATATTGGTTAATAATGACATTAACTACAGAGAACGTTTTGCTTATATAAACTGGTAGTTAACTCAAGTTCAGTGAAATATGGTTAGGAAAGCAGCTGAGTCACTCAGTTACCATGTGGTTGTAATGTTTATTATTATTAAGTTAACATCCAGTGACAGATCTTATAATTTCTTTGTCATTTCAGATTGTATTTAAGATATTCCATATTGAGCTGAAATTGAGCAAATGGGGGTTGAAAATTACGTATACATTGCCCTTTTGAGATTCCAACAATAACGTTATACAACAACTGTACACTGAAGTTGCTATGGCAGTACATGGGTTGTTGACATGTTACAGGGATAATAATTTACAACAAGTGAGAATACTCCATTTGTTTCATAGTTGTCTGTGTACCAGTGAGTGTTTAGGAATGGCATAAGTCCGTGGTCTAACCTTGGTGTTTGGTTATTTGTGGATGCAATGCCAGAGAAAGGGCTATCAGCCACAGCTACATTGAGCTAACAGCTGTGAGCCTAGCGCTGTTTTGCTTGGCTATTTCTATCGTCAGTAAATATGACAGGTGTCACTGAACTTACGGAACTGTCTCTAAATGGCATACATTATAAACAATATAAACAAATTACACATCGAGTTGAAACAACAACAGAAACAATATCATTGGCCTTACCTCACTTTACTCGCATCTCCCTGCTGCTGGTCTCCACCTTGGCTAAGCGAGTTGGCTAGCTAACAAGCTAGCAACCAAGCTAGCTAGCTGTTTTGCTTTAGCTTGGCATACATGAGCTATCTTAGAAAGCCACTTAGCTAACGCTATCCCGACTAGGCTATACTAGACGTGCTGAAATACATGATTATCTAAGTTGAGTGCTGCACCACAGTCACATATATAAATTAAATGTAAAACATAAAGTGTAACTATGAGCTACACGAGCCAAATCACTAAAAGCTATTTGTTTATCTCCTGCAGCTAACTATGCTAACAGCCGCTCGGTGGCTGTTTGTTGTTGTCATCTGTGCGATTCGTCAGCGGTCCGTTCAGTTCAACTACACGCCTCCAGAGCTACTCTTCATTCACTTTCTCACGCTAAAATTGTAATGTTTTATACAAATAAGTTCACTAGAATTTAATTTTGAAATAATAAACCTTTAGTTAATTCGCATTTATATTTTTGTGTTTATTTTTATGTTTATTTTCACATATTGAGAAAAATAAATATAATGCACAATTGAGCATTAATGTGTAATAGTAATGACCTTTACTGTGATTCAATAACAAAAGGTAATTCTACTGGTGCAGCAGGTGTATTCTGGGTAAAGTACTGGGACTGTTGGTGCAACATGAGAGGATCTGGGGCGTGGTCATTATTAAGGCTTCAGAACATGATGTTTGCTGCAGAGTGGAGGTAGGCCTACTACATCATTTACTGAAACTTTCATTCTGCATGTCACCATGATGATGTCATTGCTTTGCCTGGGATGTTCCACGGTATACCATTAAACAAATATATCTTCTGTCTGTTAAATTAATTAATTCTACCACTATGGATCACAATACTGGCATCATGCAGAGATCATGTCTGACTCTGGCCAGTAGGATGTGTGTTGATCTCAATGTGTTGAATCCTGACTGTGTTTGTCATTTCAGAATAAAAAGTCAAGGAGCTCCTTGACACAGCTCAGGGATGAGCCCCTTGTAAACTTTCCTTTTGGTTGAGAGGGGAGTGGAGGGGACAATTTTCCAACTCTCATATGACCACAGGATTTTAACTTAGCATTTTAATAATGGTTGGGTCTTAATTCTATTTTTTATTTAATAAATGAAGAAAATTAAATAAATAAAATACACATAAAATGTATGTTCTACAGTTTCTGAAGTTGCTAAAGGTGCACTGGCTCTGCCATGTTGAATGCATCCAGCTGTTTGAATGACTTACAGAACAGTGGTCTGAAGTGAGAAAAGTCTGAACACCCCCGTAAAGATGCTACAGGCTTTTCACACCATAAGTGGCAGCAAAAGTCCTTCCCATGGAAATACTTTGAGGGAATTAACCATTTCATACCAACTAATACACTAGAGTGGAATGAGGCTTTTAAAAAAATGTTTACATACAGTTTTTATGAACTTTTTTACTCTTTGTCTATGGCGACACAAGTTACCTGATTTTATAATCATTGAATATGTAATTTAAATCATCTGAATGAATGCAGTTGTTACATTATCAAACAAAACAGGGTGGTTGAGTGCTCCCTTACAGATAGAATGATTAGCTCAGTCACCTAGAGGAGATTGCAGTAGATTGACATTGAGAGCCAGTTGAGGTGGTTCTGGTGTCATTTTCAGGTATCTCCTTCATTCTTCCCTGGCACGACCTATACATGTCTATGCATATATATGTCTCAGTTGGCCACAGAAAACCTTGGATTTGCCAAGGGAATTTAGAGGAAGTGTAGATAAAGTAGGAGCATCCCTGATTAGACTACTTCTGGTCTCTGATAAATAGTCTTAGCCTTAATAACCTTAAAACTACCATCTGCAAGTTTATTAGATTTTTTTTTAACCTGGTAGGTAATGGTTTTCTTCTGTACCGTCAAAGCATGGACACCTTTAGCCAACAACATAGATAGCATCTAGTGGTGTTATGTAAGAATACAGCAGGGCCAGATCTGCTATTTTAATTACAAACAGTACTTTAAAAATGTCCCATGCGTAAAACATAATTCTTGTGATTCGTTTTTAAATACATTTCTTGATGTATAAAACATACTTTTCTTTAGGGATGGTTATCATATGACCTACTTAGGTCACCCAGGCTATGTCTGAGCAGTGATCAGTATTGGACCTGTAATTTGTGCCCAACAAATGTTCAAAATGTGGAAGGAACCTAATACTCCATTAAAATATAGAAGGAGAGGATGATGGATGGTTCTGCATGTGAGAAAATGTTGGGAAGGGTAAATGGAAAGTATTGCTCAGAGACTGTGCAACTGGACAGTTTTTGTCTGTATGTGTCTACAACAGTCTGCAACTGTCTAAATAGCTGTGTTTCTATACCAATTCTGATTTCTCTCACTGTGTTCTTTTTAAATAGCTGAGATGTAGTTTTATGCTTATTTATTAGTAATTTATACCAGTTATTAATTTAATGACAGAGCCTAGTCAAATAATGGCTCTTGTAAAATGTCAGCTCCGTCATAATAAACAAAATTGGATTGCAGTACCAAATGTGGTCAACAGATGGTAGCAAGAGGCTGCAGATGACACTAGACTGCTCACTCAGGAGGATAAGGGTTTTCAAATATGTATTATAGTAAGAAACAACAACAATATAACAAACATATAACCAAAACAATAACATAAAACAATATGAAGTAACAAAAACATTTACATATCCAGACATGTAGACACTTTCAAAGCATCTACTCACATGTAGCATTCCCATTTCTTCTTATACACTTTACTAGTTCCACTTCAAATAAATACATGGCTTCTAGTCTAGTTTGTTATTTGCGCTTAGGGTGGAGGGAAATGCACAATTCATCTATACCTATAACCACGGGCAAATACCAGCAGGTGGCACTGTCTCCCAATGCTCTTCTTCTCTGTGGCGTAATGCAATGTGAGCTATAACATTTTTTTTGTCTGGCTCCTCATCATTCGGGAAATATTGTAGGCATGTAAGCCTATGTCATAATTTAGCATGCTGGGCAAAGGGCACCTGTTGCAAGGTTATGTGATGGTCAACTTACAAGTAGTTTTAGCCGTAGTTCTTACCTATTTGCATGAGTAGACTGCATCTGGGCCCACCTTATGCAAAGGATCTGTATCATGAGTCGCAGGGATAACATTATAAGAAAAGTAATTTAAGATTTATGCAAAATGCGAACTGGTTTTATTCAGATTACAGACTGCACAAGATTATATTTCGTGTGAAAATGCTGGTTTGTTGTGGACAGTGTCAGACGTGGCAATGCATGCAGTGTAATTGTGCATGACACAATAAGTTACACTTGTAAACTCTGAATTCATTAACGAAAAGTCCTACTGTTGGATTGAAATCTAAAATGAAACATGCTGTTCGCAAAACCTCTTATTATAATAGGCAAACAAGTAAATAATAAAATTGTGCACACTATATGAACTTGTTATGAAGTTAGGCCAGTGCTACCTTGCCCTTACACCACTGGGCAGTCGGAGATCGCGTGTCTTTTAATCGTTCAGCCATCACTACTTATAATGGAGCAGTAAACCTACCCCTAGAGCTTGCAGTAGCAATTGTATGTTGCATAACAGTCAGGTAGGTTATTATAATGATGTGCACGTTGCGATTTTCTCCCCCTCGATCAAATCCAATCACACCCTCCCCCATCTCAAGTACAATTACGTGATGGGTGACGTTTGAGCATGCGGAGGAGGGCGCTGGGCAGGGACCACTTGGACCGAAGAAGACTATTTGATTTCAGCGCAGAAACAACGGCAGTGGCGGCAGGACCAGGGAAGCCGTGCAGCTGAAGCCGAGCCCCATTGTCTCCTACAAACAGCACCACCAGGGAAACGGCTGGGGAAAGGAGGAGTGTGCGCAGAGTGGTAGGCAAGGCGCGTTTGTAAGCCACAAAAGAGAAACCAGCCCTGGACAGAGCATCTGGCCAGTAACGGAAAATGAATCACAGCCAAGTTGTAATAATATGAGCAAAAACTGCGTTTTATTGCAACGGGCGTCCTACTACCGATCGTTTTCTACTCTCGCACCTCGCGCGGACTTCTTTTGTTCGCATCGCTTCAGACCCAAATACTCGCTCTAAACTCTCCTTCAGCAGAAAGCACCAAGATGAATTTCCAAGCGGGCGTCCAAGTGTCCGGTATCTCGCAGCAGCCTCAGCCGGCCATGCCCACTCCAGGCTCGGTTCAGGCGCCTGTGCCCGTGCCGGTTCCCCAGTCCATTCCGTCCCAGTTCGGTTCCGGTTCGTCTGGAGGCTCTGGAGCTGGTCAATTCGGTTCAGGGACAGTTTCTGGACAGGGTGCTGGCCAGCCCGGGTCGGCTGGCTCGCAGTTTTTGTCCAACTCAGCGGCCATCAGAGCTGAGATCCATCGGTTCGAGTCGGTCCATCCCAACATTTACGCCATCTACGACCTGATCGAGCGTATTGACGACCTGGCCCTGCAAAATCAGATCCGGGAGCACGTTATCTCAATTGAAGGTAAAAGCCATCACACATGGGGTTTTATGTGCTGCCATTCATTCAGTGTAAACTAGCATGGGGGTGTCTGTTTTGAAGGGGGTCCTACTGCTTTCAGCTGTAAGCACACTGCTAACATTGTCACTGTGTCAACAGTCTCACTTGGAGTTTGGGGGCGTCTCTTACCCCCTTTATTTCCCATATACACAGCCTTAAGAGAAAAATGTCCCACTGTAAATGGTTACAAATCACAACAGCTCAGGGGCACATGTGCTGTCTGCCAGACTGTCCATGAGTGGCCGCTCCACCAATAGCTAAAGAACTTGAATGCAACTCAGTCTGTTCCATTTTTGCATTGACTGACTAATGTTGTGGCATATATTTCAGTAACCTGCTGTGTCACACAAGTACAATATCACAATTATACTCCAGTATTTGTGCTCCTTAGGTTTACTTGGTCATGTTTTGAGTGAGCAGAGATTTAGGGGGTTGCTGCAAGAGTTCTAGTGAAGCCCTGGCTATAGCTAAAAGTGAAGTCACATGCACCTATTAAATTTAAGGAAGCGACCTACAAAAACACTAACAGTGGCTGGCTTGTTAGAAGAGCTAATGATGTATCCAAGGTGAAAGATATCATGGAGACCTGTTAAAAGAGTGTCATGACCTGCAATGCTATAGCTGTCTGTTAAGAATCAACTGGAAGATGATGTGTGTGCATTATGGTTCTTTCCTGTAGCTGTGTTGTATGTGTTATCAGTGGTCGTGTTGACATAGGGTCACTGTACTGCCAGTCAAATCCTGTTGTCTGCTATCTCAGTGTTTCCCACAGGTTTATACCACGACTATGGTGGCACAAGCAATCCGTATTTGAATCATTTTTGGTGTGTGAATGCCACTTACTGCTACTACTGAGCACTAAAAGCACAGATTACATGTTAAAAATGGTTACTTCTGTATGTGTATATGATGACACTACAAGCTTAAAGTACAATTTGTTGACCTTTTTTTTCTCTGCTAGTTTTTAGACTATGGGGAGGAAAATTTGACTATGGGGGGGCCACTGTAGTCTCCTGTATAAATGTGAAACACTGTAGCTTGAAGACTGCATATTGTATAATGTGATTGCGCTGTAGCCATGCTGGCGCTTTCATTTTCAATAGAGCTGAGGGACATTCAGATTGACGCGTTTGTATGGAGTCTGCTGCTACATTGTGATGTTTGTTTATTAGCTGAAGAATGGATTGAAAGGAACTTTGAATCATAGCACGTGATGGGGTCCACCTTAAACATACAACTATGTGAGCTTTGTTATTATGCAAACTATTGCATTAATGTACCGCACAAAAAGCTTTGAAATAAGCACCCTTAACAATATTTAATTTATATTTATTTAAGTTATTAAGTATTGAACATTATGTAAACCTGTTTCTGTCATATCCCATAAAGCACTTGTTTGGAAAGCTATGAAAAGCTATTTTAGATACATGTCATCTTGCTGATCTGTGTTATAGCATTTCAAGTCCTGGTATTTTCATCATAGTGGTGTGGATTGAAGTAATATATTGTAAAATCTCACTTGGTTTTGCTGATTGTGTCTTGTATTATTGCTTGTGCATGATTTTTACCAATCTGCTCCTTAGTTGACATGTGCAGGCTGTTGGGTGTGTAGCTCTCAGCCAATCAGAGCTCCCACAGAACACAGAGTGGGAGCCAGTCCGAGGCAGCAGTGGGAGCACAATGGTGGACCAGGTGCCCAGGAAAATGCAGTAAATTTAAATGACAAGGGGACAAAAGTCATTCACAAAACCAAGTAACTTTGAGAGGGCATTGCCATGGAGTTAGTTCTCATTTCTCTGGTATTTCTGTCTGTCATTATCCCAACTCCCAAGAATTGTATTTATTTTGCATCTTCAGGAACCATATACTTAAAGGTGCACTGCGTAACATTTCTAGTGGAGGGTCCGCCACGTGCTTGTCTCCATGGAGATGTTATTGCTTTCTCTAAAATGCTCCACAGTAAATACTAAACTTATCTATAACAAGGGAGACAAGCAGTTTACAGCTCTACACTACATTCCAAGTCAAATCTGCGCTGTCTCCCCTATTTACAGAAGGAATTACTGTATTTTTTAGCAACAGAAACACCCGTATTAATGAATAAATGTACTACCTTTGAACATTTCAAATATAGCAATAACATCTCCATGGAGAAAAGTTACACAGTGAACCTTTAACTGATATTTCTGTAAATGTACCAGATACGGCAACAAACCTATATTTCAGCCGTACTTCCCACACAGGTCTGTTAAAAAATACACCTTAATACATAGAAAAGATAATATTTTTATAAGTAATTGTTTGCATTGAAACATAAGAAAAAAGCTGAATTGCAAGACAGCAAAAACTGAATATGCTTTGGGTTTGTTGCTAAGATGTCTAGTAATTAAACTATAAAGATACCTCTAGGACTTTTTATTAGTGTAGCCATAATTTTTGGAACATTTTGCCAAATGCTTTATGGGAATCTTTCACAGGTGCATAGTTAAATGAACCCACAATGAAACCTGCAGACATCTTATCAAACAGTTAAGAATAAACAGTTAGCCCCTCTGTTGTCATTCTGAAATTTGATTACACAATTTGTGTTTTTTTTATGTTTTTTCAGCCATACCTTTTTGAGTTATCTTTGAATTTGTGGCTTTTGAAATCACTACTATATGAGACAATTAAGCCTGTCACGATAACATATTTTGAACCTTTTATGGCTCAACTCTTAACCAAAAATAACCAAAGAATTCCCAGTAGTGCAAAGAAAAATAAATATATGATAAATACTGATCCCAAAATAATTGTTCCATCTTTCATATATTGAACTATAGGTCGATATAGTACTTATCATGCCAGGGCTAGAGACAATTTCGTTATTTTCTTTCCCCACATTACTTCTGATGCAGGCATATTGGCCTCATCTAAAGACACGAACATACTTGACCCCACAGAACCCAATCTTTATTCCAGCCATTTTATTTTACCCTGGATGGTGCATATTTGGAAAGCAATCATGGGCTTATACAGGCCTGTTCAATTCTCGTTACTGTTGAAAACTCTCTTATTGAAATTGCCTAGCTATTATAAGCATAAACATGGGCTAGAGTATATATAGTAGATGCATTTTTTTCTCACTATAAACATAAATATGACTCTTTAGTTATTTATACCTTCAAAATTTGAACTCAAAACACAGTGCTTTTCCTGCGTCGAACGGAATCTCCTCTACAACAAAAATACCCCCTCTTGTGTAGTTGGAGTGGACCTCTCAAAAATGCATAAGATTCTTGTTTAGCATTTCATAAATCAGTCTTTTCACAAATGGTAATGCTCCTGGATGTGTTTACAGTGTGCAAACTGAAGATTTTTTTTTTAAACCAATAAATCCCAAATCACCAAAAGCTAAATATATGTTGATATAATGGAAAGCATTCCCTTTTACTGGTGTGAGTTGTAAAATACATTATGATTAAATGTCTACAAAATTGAGGAAATCATGTTTTGTCTATGTCTGCTTCTGCGGTTTCATAGACTTTCAAACCTACAACTTCCCCATCTACAATATAATATTTGTCTTGGTTGCCTAAATAAGACTACGATGGTGAAATTTCTCTTGAGCCATTTTATGTTTGAAACCTCATTCAGATCTAAGCCACAATTGTAATAAGCCATAGAATTTGCAAATGTTCAAGTTAAATAAACCGAAACACCCAATCAGTCACACATATGTGCATACAATGATATATATTATAGATAAGTTATCATTGATGCTTCAATTCATCTTGAAACTTGAAACTAACCCTGGAGTTGTTTTTATTTAGTTTCATTCACATATGCTTAACTCATAAACCCTGCATATTTAGGCTGAGTTCTTCTCTCAAACAGAGCTCCACTGTGTTTTTTAACCCCATACACCTTCGCTAGAATCACTGGGATGATTTCAGTCGTGGAATTGCCCATTTCTATTCAACAAAAGCTAAAAGGATCTGTTAACTTGAAAACTTTGGAGATGTAGACAAACAATTTATAAAGGATTACTCAAACATGTCTTAATGAAACAAAACACAACTCCAGGTATGTTTCTGATGAGATAACAACATTCTAACATGACTAAAAGCTCACAAGAGTCAATTTTACATAATATGGGATCTTTTTAAAATGTTAAATCTTATATGGCAACATGAAAGCATAAAACTCAACAGCATATTGCAACACTTCTAGATCCTCATACATAGATCTCTCCACAAGACATATGGTTTATGTCGGTAAGTGTTACTTCTGACCTGAAAGTAGTACTTGTGGTTCAGCATCATGTGATTTCAACACCATGTCCATGTTCTATGTAAGTGCATGTGTCTGGACAAATATGTGTGAAGAGACACACATGCCATATTTTATAGCAAGTTTATAATTAGTTTATGGTGCTATAATAAGTTTTGAAACTGGGGATTTTATTGAAATGTTGCAGTTCAAATATAGCTGCTAGGGCATTCATTTTACCAGAGTTTTTATACTGTTTAACATTATAGCTATTCTTAGAATTAAACTCAGACTTAGACAAACTTTATTGATCCACAAGGGAAATTATTTGGACACAGTAGCTCACACATCACAATATATTATAATAAATAAGAGCAAAAATACAAGTGGTAATAATAAATTCTAAATAAGTAGCAAAAATAACAAGAAACTGGTGTCAAATAAGGCATAATTATATAAATGCGTATGTATGTAGAAGTAAAAATGAAAATATAGAAATAAAATGTAGAAAAATGCAGGTATGTTCAAATCTACTTTTCTGGCTTGAATATGCGTGAGCTGCAACAGTTTTCTATTATTGGAGATCTGACCAGAATTTCAAATGGGTAATCAAAATGCAGGGGATAGATTCAAGAGCCAGTCAGCATTAGACCCAATGTGAGCTTCGTACACCGTGTTGTTAAAAGATTTTGAAACAAGCCCGTATGCCACTG